AATGGAGAATTGTTTATTAATGTTTTCTCTAGTGTAGACAAATATATTTGTAGTATTTTAGCTAATTTTGTTTTTCAGATTTTAAAATTATTTTAGATTAGTTGTGATACTGTATGTTTCTTATGTTGGACTTTACTCAAGCATTGTTTTTGTGTACGTTCCAAATAAAATATCCTATCCTATCCTATCCTATTCTATTCTATCTACAAAAACTACAGACTAAACTAATGGACTAAAGTGACATTCATGTCTTGTTTTAGTATGTACGATAACAATCACTGCACATGTTTATTGGTCATTTTCATCAAACGAATATTATTATGCATGATGCCAAATCTATTTTGGTCGTCAACATAAAATATTTGCCAATAATTTCATTAATAATCATAATTCTAATTAATCAATAAATTTAATCACAGTCCCTCTATAGAGGGACTGTGATTTAATACAAAACATAATTTTTGATGATTTGAGAATAAATACTTTTAAGAATTGATTGTTTTTTTGTTTGAATTCTAGTATTTTTCATATTTGGATGGTGTCGAGTCCACAGATCTGGGTAAATATGGTGGCGTTGTAGAAATGGCAGACTATTGTCCTTACCATCAGGTAGGCCTAGTTATTAAAATGAAATTTTGTTGGCGACTCGCCGCTAGGATTGCCATTAAAATCACTTTTGTGTGTGTGCATATTAATTTTTCTGTGATTTTTTTTGGCTTGGTCGATTTAGCTTTAAACTTAGCAGGCAGGTCACACTTTCACTCTAGTTAGGTGGTACAATCTTTTTGTTTGTGTATTCTGGGACTAGTATTTTAGTCTTCTGCAGTGCTGGGGACTTGACAGAACCTTAAAATATATTTTTTCCCAATAACACAATTTATGCCAATTCCTGAATAACTGTTTTTGTCTTGTAGAGTATGGATCAATGTCTACATTGATCAAAGTTTCATTGTCCAAAATTAGCAGTGTATACTTAGGGATTCTTGGAAATGACATCTTGATTATTTCTTATAGGAACTGGAGTGGGAGTCAGATTCTGATATTATCAGGACTTCACATTGTAACAACCCTAACAATGCACCAGGTAAGGAGAATTGACATTTGTATCTTTATTTACCGCTTATATAATGCCTGTTTTGTGTGTGGACCTTTTCTAATTCCCCAAATGTGTTGTGAAAAGTTGTAATGTAAGACATGGACTGTAATTTTTGGATGAGGGTAGAATTGCAATAAAAAATAAAAAATTGCCTTCTTAGAATTGACTGCCCCTCACTTAATGAATAATGGCTCCCATATTTACTCAATCAATAGTAGCTCCTATTCATGCAATCAATAATGCCCTTATATTTACGCAATCTATTATTCCCTCTATTCACCCAAACATTAATGGTCAAGCCCTGACAGTTCTAGAAATATTTGCACAGCCCAAATAACCACCTCATAAATAATGGTTCATCCCTAAACACTACAGAAACAATGGTTCATCCCTAACCATCATAGAAATGATGGCTCATCCCTAACCACCATAGAAACAATGGTTCATCTCTAATCACCATAAAATAATGGTTCAGCCCTGATAATTCTGGAAATATTTGCACAGCCCAAATAACCACCTCATAAATAATGGTTCATCCCTAAACACTACAGAAACAATAGTTCATCCCTAACCATCATAGAAATGATGGCTCATCCCTAACCACCATAGAAAAATGGTCCAGCCCTGGCAGTTCTATAAATAATTGCACAGCCCAAATAACTCATAAAATGGTTCATCCCTGACCAAAATAGAAACAATGGTCCAGACCTGATAGTTGTAGAAATAATTGCCCAGCCCAAATTACTACCTCATAAATAATGGTTCATCCCTAACAACATAGAAATAATGGTTTTCTCAACATTGTAGATTCCAGATACAGTTTCTCATTAGAACATTATGGAGACAGTGCAGTCTGTGTTGAGCAAGGGGTGGCATGGATTAAACAGCAATGTAATCTCATATCAACACAACACCAATGGGGGAGTGGATGTTATAAGGTAGGGGCAATATTATGGGACAACATTTTGGCATAAAAAATGTAAAAAATATTAATGCTTTTAAAGTACATTTGAACACTGTATATAATCTGTAATTGTTCTTGGTTAGAGTTATAAATTATTTTATGTGCTTTGGATCAGTTTATATAACTTTCAAGTATGCAAGTAAATAAATTATTATTATTAGGATTCAATAATTATGTAATTACATTGTTCTGTTAGTCAAAACATGTGATAGAAGCTTTTGGTTATCTCCAAGTAGTATGTAATAATGTGCCCTTTTTTGTCAAATTCCATGATAACTAATAAATTAAATTACTGAAAATACACAAATCATATATCTTAAATAAATGGTTTAAGGTAGCGAGACTATTATTTGTGTTGAAAATTACGATTTTCACATTTATTTATTAATTGATGAAATGCACTATAAACTTTCATATGATAAAGTCAACATAACATAGAATGTCATGTAAGTTGGTTAAAATGTATATTTTCTGAAGGGAAGCAAGGCAG